ATCTGCATCAGGGATATAGAGAAACAGAAAAAATAGAGAAGGGAGAACGGGAGAGTGAGCAAACAGAAAAAGAAAGGAAGAAGAGAGGCAGAGGTGGGAAAAAGGGAGAGAAAAGGTGAGGCAGAAGAAACGGGAGAGTACACACTGAGTTGCAAGCGCTTTCAGGACTTCGTTAGCCATATCCTGAACCGCCAGCAGATGGAGATATCACCCAAGGAAAAGGGGACTGCCTCCAGCCCACCGCACCCTGCCCCGGACCTTATTCTTTTCTTATTCTCTAATTTTCAGTTCACTCTCCTGAAAAATGATGCTGAGAGAACTCCAGAAGTCTCTGAATTTTCAAACTAAGCTTATAAACAAACATTTAATGGTAAATGTTGCCTCTGATCACCCCTGATTCTGATTTAGAAGAAGGCTTTGTAGTTTTTGCGTTTGGGGCACTGCCTGAGTAGGGCTCCCTCCAGCTTGCCTCCTCCCAGTTATATGCACATGTATATATACATATACAGTATACACGTGTTTTGAATCACTGCTAAATAATTAAGCAACATAGGGGTATGTTACAGTCCCCTTCCTAGTCACCCTGCCATTAACACTTTGCTTCCCCAAGTAGAAGCGCTGTCACTTTGAATTCTTAACTGTGGTTATTCTGGGAGTCTTTACTGTCAATCCATGTCTGCTTTCTTCATTCTTCCATATAGCCATAAAGCATCCAATTTTAAGGACTTTCACAGACTCGTCAGACTGGTAAACATGTGCCTAAAAGGGAAACAATCTTTTACAACAGCGCTTCCCAACCTTGAAGCACACACGAATCACCCAGGGATCTTGTTAAGTGCAGATTCTGATTCAGGAGATTTGATAGGGTTGCAGATTCTGCACTGCTGATGAGTTCCCAGATAATATTAGTGCTGCTAGCCCAAGAACCACACTTTGAGCAGCAAGGCTAAATGTCCTTATATCAAGAGGGTCAGGACACCTCTCAGCTACAATGGACTCCTTGTAGTCATGCTGTCTTCTTTGTCACCCCTTAACTTTGACTTAACTGTTCATGTGTTCATTCAACCAACCAACATTTACAGAGAATCTACTCTGTGTGAACCCCAATGCCCGTCAATTTGAAGCACGGTTAGTAAGCATCTTTGAGCTCCAGTCCCGGGATTCCTAGGATTTAGTGATGATTCAAATTCATTCCTTGCCGTGTCATTCATTTATTTGATATTTATTGAGGATCTACTTATGTGGCAGGTACTGTTCCAGGAGCTAGAGATGCACAAAACAATGTATAAATTGGGATGCTTGGGTGGCACAGTTGGTTGGGCATCTGATTCTTGGTTTCGGCTTAGGTTATGATCTCAGGGTTGTTGGATTGAGCCCCGTGCCCAGCTCTGTACTCAGCTCTGAGTCCACTTGAGGTTCTCTCTCCCTCTCCCAGCCCTTCCTGCTTATGTGCTATCTCTGTTTCTCTTATAAATAAATAAATAAATAAATAAATAAATAAATAAATATAAATTTTTTAATAAATTAATTTTTATTGGTGTTCGATTTACCAACATACAGAATAACACCCAGTGCTCATCCCGTCAAGTGTCCCCCTCAGTGCCCGTCACCCAGTCACCCCCACCCCCTTCCACCGCCCCTTCCACCACCCCTAATTTGTTTCCTAGAGTTAGGAGTCTCTCATGTTCTGTCTCTCTTTCTGATATTTTCCATTCATTTTTTCTCCTTTCCCCTTTATTCCCTTTCACTATTATTCATATTCCCCAAATGAATGAGAACATACACTGTTTGTCCTTCTCCGATTGACTTACTTCACTCCGCATAATACCCTCCAGTTCCATCCACGTTGAAGCAAATGGTGGGTATTTGTCGTTTCTAATGGCTGAGTAATATTCCATTGTATACATAAACCACATCTTCTTTATCCATTCATCTTTCGATGGACACCAAGGCTCCTTCCACAGTTTGGCTATTGTGGACATGGCTGCTAGAAACATCGGGGTGCAGGTGTCCCGGCGTTTCATTGCATCTGAATCTTTGGGGTAAATCCCCAACAGTGCAATTGCTGGGTCGTAGGGCAGGTCTATTTTTAATTCTTTGAGGAACCTCCACACAGTTTTCCAGAGTGGCTGCACCAGTTCACATTCCCACCAAGAGTGCAGGAGGGTTCCCCTTTCTTCACATCCTCTCCAACATTTGTGGTTTCCTGCCTTGTTAATCTTCCCCATTCTCACTGGTGTGAGGTGGTATCTCATTGTGGTTTTGATTTGTATTTCCCTGATGGCAAGTGACGCAGAGCATTTTCTCATGTGCTTGTTGGCCATGTCTATGTCTTCCTCTGTGAGATTTCTCTTCATGTCTTTTGCCCATTTCATGATTGGATTGTTTCTTTGCTGTAAAAAAATCCATAAATCCGTTTATTGCTTAACCCCCAACTTGTTTATTGTTAGCCTCAAGTAAGTTTGTCTCCAATAGGGGAGACAGGTAAATAATTAGGCAATTAAGTTCCTTCCCCCTTAGCTTTTTTCCTTTTCTCTTCCTGAACAACTCAATCCAAAAGCCATTCAGTGGTCAAGCAAAGTAGCTTTCCCCTCAGAGGTACAGGGGAGCCTGCAGTGGTCTAGAGCAGGGGTACTGGAGCCAAGCAAGATGAGAAGGTTATCCAAGTGGAAATTGTGGCCTGGTACAGACTTTCTGATCCCAATCAAGGAGAGAAGGGCATCTGGGCAGGGGGACACCCTGGTGAGGGTTGTCAGAGTCTAAATAGGATAAGGAGGGCATCTGTGTCAACTTGACTGGCTTCTAGGTGCCAGATTAAACGTTATTTCTATGTGTGTTTATGAGGGTATTTCTGGATATTACCATTTTAATTTAATTAGTGGACTCCGTAAAGTAGACTGCCCTCACCAGTGTGGGTGACATCATCCAATCCCTTGAGGTCCTGAATAGAACAAAAGGTGGAGGAAGAAGGAGTGTTTTCGTTTTTTTTCTTGCCTCGTTTGTGAGTTGGAACATCTTGTCTCATCTTCTCTGATCATTGTGCTTGAAATTAAACCACTGGCAGGGTTCCTTAGTTCTCAGGCCCTCAGACTTACACCACCAGCTTTCCTACTGGTGTACACATGGCAAACCGTGGAGCTTCTCAGCCTTCATAATTGTGTGAACCAATTATTCATAATAATAAACCTCTCTCTCTCTAAATATATATATAGATAGATAGATAGATAGATAGATAGATAGATAGATAGATAGATAGAGATATCCTACTGGTTCTGCTTCTCTGGAGAACTAATACAGTATCCATGTAGTGGTCAGGACTTGGTTTAATGTGTTAGAGCCTGAACGGGCTAATAATCACCCCATGTCAGGTGATGGTGGTGGTGATAGTGATGGGAGATGTGTTACAGGAGGACTGTTCAAATAAGTAATATATTAACTAATGGAACCCAGGTTTCTCACTGTCAGAGAAGGAAGTTACAAATATGGGAGGAAGGAAAATCAGAATAAACTCTGTGGTGTTGGGATCCCTGGGTGGCGCAGCGGTTTAGCGCCTGCCTTTGGCCCAGGGCGCGATCCTGGAGACCCGGGATCGAATCCCACGTTGGGCTCCCAGTGCATGGAGCCTGCTTCTCCCTCTGCCTATGTCTCTGCCTCTCTCTCTCTCTCTCTCTCTCTCTCTCTCTCTCTGTGACTATCATAAATAAATAAAAATTAAAAAAAATAAACTCTGTGGTGCTGAATTGGAATTAGAAGTCACTATGATCTCATGGTTTTCAATATATATGGATCTAGAAATTCCAAGTTTTAGAAACCAATTACTGTTAGTTGTGAAAGTGTGTTTACTTACATATAATCCCTAAATCAGTTCATTCAGGCCTGGGAGCTGTGACATCCCCAAAGCAGTCCATACCTACTACAGAGATCTTGGTTTCTAAATACTGTTCCCTACCAAAAGAAACCAGAACTCCTTGGAGAAATGGGTGATTCCAGGGCTGGGGCAGGGAAACTACATGACAAGTTGAAATATCTTGTGCCAGAAAGTAAGGACATGTTCAAAAAAATGATGTGGACATGTAAAAAGAACCCGGAAACCAACTTAACGGGGTTTCCACTGGCCCGATCTGATAAAACTAGAACTTGAAAAAGGTGATAGTAGATTCTAATCTATTGAATAAAATAGGAATCTACAAGTCCAGACTGATATAAATAAATGAATAAATTGGTAGTGCGATGAACAGGAAATTAGTTTCTCAATACCAGATCAGAAAATAAGGGTCAGGTACAAGGGAAATTACAAAGCAAAGAGAGTAATTTTACAGCAGGGAAACCTCTAACTGGTTTAAGTGGTCAAAATTATCAGTAATCGGACAAAGAGAAATTGTGGGCCATCTAATAGGATACAGTGAGCATCGTATCCGTGATAGCCCTGCCAAAGGCGCACGCATAACCTGAAACTAGTCACTTGGAAACATTAGACAAATCCAGATTGAGGGACATTCTACAGAACAACTGGCCTATAATCTTTAAAATTTGCAGGAACTGCAAATGAGGAACTGTTCTGGGTTGAAGGAAACTAAAGACCGTTGAGTAAATGCAACCTGTGTTTTCGGACAGGTTCTTTCTGCTCTAAACACTTTACTGGGACAATTGGTGACGTACTTTGTTGAGTCTCGAAGGCGACCTGGGTAACAGATGAGGCCACCTGAGTTCTTGCCCTCAAAGATACCTGCCTTTGAATCCACGCTCAAAAGGTCCGGCTTTGGCCCTTCCGCTCTGCTAAGTCCCCTGATCCCCCACAACCCTCAGCGCGTGGGCGAGCGCGGCGGCCCCGGGAGGCCAGCGGGGCAGAGGACTGGGGCCCCCAGAGTTGGCAGAGAGAGTCCCCGCCTCTCCACGCGGCGGGGCGGGGCGAGGAGTGGGCGGGGGAGCGCGGCGGGGGCGGGGCCGCGCCGTGTGCGCACGCGCGGGGCGGGCCCGAGGAGGCCACGCCTCTTCCGCCCCGCGGTTCTGGCGCCGCGTGTGGACGGCTAAAGCGCCCCGGGCCGAGTCTCTCCGGGTTCTTAGCCTTGGCGGCCGGACGGGGAGATGGCGGCGGAGGTGTTGCCGAGTGCGAGGTGGCTATACTGTGGGCAGCCCGACGAGAGCCAGAGAGCCGTACTGGGTAAAGACTGCGGAGCCGGAGCCGAGTCCCCCACAGCTCCCTCCGCTCCCGTCTGGGTGCTTCTGCAGCCCTCCTGCCCCTGCCGGACCCCTTTCCCGGCTGGGCCAAGACACCCTCTAGCCTCCGGCACTGCTTGGGACTTGGTCACCCCCCATCTCTCTGTCACCACCTGGATGGGGACATCCCAGGCAGCCTCCTCCTCAGGGCTCTACCAGTCACCCCCTCACGCACTCACACCTGCCCCGTATCCTTTTCTCCACGGTCTGGGCTTAGGCTTCAGCTGTTTAACCCTGGTCATCTCCTTCCGTCGCGGCCCTTCGCCAGCACTGCCCTCACCTCCCCGTCTCCTCTTCCCGACCGGACAGGGACCTCCTTCAGTCCCCCTTTAGGTCAGGACCTGGGCTTCCTTACCACTCCCATTCCTTCAGACGCTCCCTCCCCACGAACAGTCCGGTTCCTCCCCACCATACACACTGTGGGTCCTTCTACTCATCTCATTTTTGGGCTGCAATCTTACAGTGCAGTTCTCCAACGGGAAGCTGCAGAATCCAGGCAACGTGCGTTTTACTTTGTACAAGAGCAATGACTCCACAAACCCCAGGAAGAGGAGTCAGCGGATTCTGGTAAGTGCTGCGGGGGCCAGCTGCCTCCACTCTGCAGATTTCTGGAGGTCTTGGAGGCGCTTGGGTGTGGGTGGATGTGGGAGGGAGGGAGAGGAGAAAAGAGATAGCAAATGTGCCTTGGGAGATAAGATAAAGATAGCAAATGAGCCTTGGGAGAACCGTGAGTCCCAGCAGGTTGGGGTGTGGGGACAGGCTCCATTCATTCAGTTATGTACTTTTGGTGAAGTGATGACCTTTCATTGATTTATTCATTCAGCAAGCGTTTATTGAGCACCCACCGTGGCTGTGCTGTAAGCTGCACGGGAAATAGCGAAATGGGACTTGGCTCCACCCTGGGGGAGCTCCTACTCTAGAGCAGGGTTGCTGCTCAGCCTTGGCACTATTGACATTTTGACCCAGATAATTCTGTGTTGTGGGCCAGACCTGTGCATTGCGGGATGTTCAGCTTCCCTGGTCTCTAACCACTAGATACCAGTAGCACCTCCTCTTTGTGACACCCAGAATTCCCAGAAGTGTCCCTCACGCCCCCTCACCCCCCCTCAACCAAGGGTGATTTGCTGGGTGAGAACAACTGCTTTAGAAAGGTGAAAACTGGTTTTGAGTTCAGTAACTCACACAAGCCTGCAAGCTCTGAGCCTGGAACGAGCTCATTTGAGCTCAGGAAGTCTCTGCTTGCCAGAAGGCCTTCCTGGGGGAGGACACATAGCAGCTAAGCTCTGAAGACTGGAGGACGGTTTGACAGCTGAGGTTCCCTATTCCAAGTGAAAAGGACAGCAGGGACAAACATAGGGAAGCAGGAAAGCTTGGCTGTGATTGAGGAGTGAATTAGCTGTCTCCTTAGTTCTGCCAGCATATAAGCAGCAGCCATGGGAGAGATGGACAAAGAAGTTCAGGAAGGCTTGGACTTTGGGCCCAGGAGGTTGCTGGCAGAACCATTTTGTTGCATGCCTCTAAGTGCTGGGAGCCCAGGAGCTCTCTCCCAAGTCCTGTGGTATAGCTCCCCTGAGCACTTTTCAGACCAGCTAGAAGCCAGCACTATATGGGGCTTCCCTTTCAAAAGTCCTCTTGCCTTTCTCCCAGAGACACCCAGATTCACTTGGATAGTGGGGCTGGATCACCTCCCAGAGACTCTCTAATTCTGATCCACTGTGGTTTGGATTCTAAAGCTTTTGCAAATGTGGGAAAGGGAGACAATATGCTTGATACCTCTCAACATTGGTTGTGGTGGTGCTTTTTCACTTTACATTTTAGGCAGCTGAAACAGACAGACTTTCCTACGTGGGAAACAATTTCGGGACTGGAGCCCTCAAATGCAACACTTTGTGCAGGTAGGGGTCGGGGAAGGGACAACAAGGGGAGGATAGTGGTGGTGAGCCTGGCACTGTTGTTTTCGGTCTTTATTTTAGGAGTGGGGGGCAAATCTGGAGAGGTTTACCTTGTCCTTGGGTTCCCAGATCCAGGGGCCTTCACAACCAACATGCCTAAAAAGAAAAAAATAAGTTAACATTTGTTGTATTTCCTAAAATCTCATTCATTTGTAATTTTCTTTAAGATAATTTTTAGGGGTGCCTGGCTGGCACCAGGCTCAGTCATTGGAGCTTGGGACTCTTAGTCTTGAGGCTGTGAGTTTGAGCCCCACTTTGGGAGTAAAGATTACTTTAAAAAGTCTTAAATGATAATTTTTTAACTGCGATATAACTTTACACTAGTTTTAGGTATATAATATAATGATTAGATATTTGTATATGTTGCAAAATGGTCACCACAATAAGCAGTCATCCAGGGGTGCCTGGGTAGCCCAGTTGATTAAGCCTCTGCCTTTGGCTCAGGTCATGATCCCTGCTTCCTGGGATCAAGCCCCATGTTGGGCTCCCTGCTCAGCAAGGAGTCTGCTTCTTCCTCCCCCTGCTCTCACTCTTTCTCTCCATCTCAAATAAAATCTAAAAAAAAAAAAAAAAAAAGTCATCCACTGCCACACATATTACAATTTTTTTCTTGTAATTAGAACTTTTAAGATTTGCTCTCAGCAACTTTTTTGTTTTAAGAGCACAGAGGGAGGGATCCCTGGGTGGCGCAGTGGTTTGGCGCCTGCCTTTGGCCCAGGGCACGATCCTGGAGACCCGGGATCGAATCCCACGTCGGGCTCCCGGTGCATGGAGCCTGTTTCTCCCTCTGCCTGTGTCTCTGCCTCTCTCTCTCTCTCTCTCTCTCTCTCTGTGACTATCATAAATAAATTAAAAAAATAAATAAATAAACCTTTAAAAAAAAAAATAAGAGCACAGAGGGAGAGGGAGAAGCAGGCTCCCTGCTGAAGGACTGTTAAGAACTTTTAAGCAGGAAAAAGGAAGTTGTAAAACAGTACTTTTTGAGGAATCCTTTGTCATTGGTATTATTCCAACTTTGCTCAGGCACTTTGTGGGAATTCTCAACAAGACCTCTGGCCAGATGCAAGTGTATGATGCTGAATTGTTCAACATGCAGCCACTGTTTGCAGGTAGGACCCAGTCACGAAGGCTTCCAAGAACACTGCATGTTTTAGGTTTGCTGGATGAGTTTGGTTTTGATTTGTAAAACACATTTGTTATTTTTGAAAGGGTGCCTTCCTGCAAATATTTATTGATAACTTACTTTGCTCCAGGCACAAGTTAGTGGCTAGGGATGTAGCAGAAGATACAGGTCCTGTCGCTGCTATGTTTACAGATTTGAGATCAGAAAATAATCAGTTAAAGCCATTTGAGCAGGGTTGCCTGGGTGGATCACTCAGTTAAGCGTCTGCCTTTGGCTCAGGTCATGATCTCAGGGTCCTGCTCAGCAGGGAGTCTGCTTCTTCCTCTTTCTCTGTGCTTGTGGTCTCTCACTCTCAAATCAGTGAATAAAATCTTTAAAAGGTGGGGAGGGAGACTAAAAGGTGGTGAGGGGGACGCCTGAGTGGCTCAGCGTCTGCCTTCTGGGTGGCTCAGGGACTGCCCTGGAGTAGAGGCTTTAGAGGAGATGGGAGTTACTTAGAGGTTACACAGCCCTTTTCATGTTGATGAGAAGTCTCTCTATACTTTCTAATTAGGAGGAGATACATTTTTTCCCCCTAATTTAGTGAGAGTGCTTGTACTGCTTCTCTTCTTTGGCATTTTATGATGCTCAGGGCCAGAGTGTGGGATCTTCCAGAATGATAGGTCAGAGGGTCAGACTCAAGGGGCTCCTGTTCTCTAAATCTTAAATACGGAGAACCCCAGTGAGGGAGGGTATAGTTGAGGAAGGATTGTTAGGGTCACGGTAGATCTGCCTGATGCCTTCCAAGGCAGTAGTTCTGGCTTTATTCCTGCAGAGCAGTGGTGCCAGTCCTTTTCAAGAATCTGAAGGACTAGGGGATCCCTGGGTGGCTCAGTGGTTTAGAGCCTGCCTTTGGCCCAGGGTGCGATCCTGGAGTCCCGGGATCGAGTCCCATGTCGGGCTCCCAGCGTGGAGCCTGCTTCTCCCTCTGCCTGTGTCTCTGCCCCTCTCTCTCTCTTTCTCTCTCTCTCTCTCTCTCTCTCTCTCTCTCTCTCTATGTCTATCATAAATAAATAAATACATCTTTAAAAAAAAAAGAATCTGAAGGACTGGACCTACTTTCCAGAAACATACGTAATACCTAAGAATATATATGAAATTTTGCATATAATTGTAAAGGGCTCTGAGTCCCATCTGCGACTCTCCTAGGGGTCCAGAGTCTATAGGGTAAGAACTCCTTGCTTTGCGAACAAATACATCTACATTTAAATTATCCTCCAGGGCAGCCGGGGTGGCTCAGCGAGTTTAGCATGCTGCCTTCAGCCCAGGGTGTGATCCTGGACCCAGATCGAGTCCCATGGACTTCCTGCAGGGAGCCTGCTTCTCCCTTTGCCTCTGTCTCTGCCTCCCCCTCCCCTCTCCCTCTCTCTCCGTTTCTCATGAATAAATAAATAAAATCTTTAAAATAAATAAATAATCCTCCAAGTGCTCTTCTGACTTCCAAGGAGGCAAAGGAAATTGTTCTCAAATTTTTGTTTTTACAGGTAAAAAATGTGTAAATACTAGTTTATTCTAGCCAACATATATATACACGTACACACACATGCAGCATTTATTGAGTCCTTAACTATTTGTCAAGCACTGTTCTAAGTACTTTTAATGCACGAGGATTGTCATAATTCATGTGACAACCCTCTGGTGGTTCTATCGATGACGAAAGTGGTACAGACTTGGACAGGGACATACTGTTTGTGTGTGTGTGTGTGTATATATATATATACCTTTATATATAATTATAATGTATATATGTAAAAATATAAATTTCCTTTATCTGTCTTTATCTATCTATCTATCTATCTATCTATCTATCTATCTATCTATCTATATGACCTGGGATTGAAACTCAGACAAGGCCACTGTAGAGCTTATACTCCTACCCTCTAGATTATACTGCCCTTATATGAATACTTTATGGGAGATAAGAGAGCTTTATGTAAGTAACATATACCTTACATTTATGCTTGCTTGTCTTTTATAAGGTGGGCAAAACTATTTACTGCAAAGAGCCGAGGACTTGGTTTCTAATCCCATCTCGGCCACTGCCTGGTGAACTGACTTAGGACAAATCATTTCGTTGGGAGGCTTTTTCCTTATTTGTAAAATGAAGATGTTGGACCAGATGACCCTTTCATTTGACTCCTTAATTTCTTCTCCATATCCTCCAACTGTATACTAAAGTGACAGACTAAATATTCATAGGATCCATCATGTTAAACTCTGGGAAGTCCTACAGTAAAGAAATCTGTCTTTCTTAGATTAACAGTGAATAAATATTAAATGCTATTATAATCTGGGCCTTACAGCTTCCTTTTTTCCTATTTTTGTTTGTTTTGTGTCTTGATAGATGAATCACTTGAGAGCGACTTGACACAAGAGAGTCAGGCCAAAACTTTTAGAGAAAAGGTAAGAATGACAGAAGTGAGACATGGGACCTGCCTCACGTTCCTTCTGTGCCTTGTGCTTCTCCATCAGGAAAATGAGCTGACTGAGCACAGGGCTGCTCCAAGCTCATTCTGTCTGTGGCTCTCCAGTCAGCCTGCCTGTGGAGTCTTCTCAGCTTCACAGAGCGCCATCCTCCCGCCTGGGGCAGCTATACTCAGCTCCGTCCCAGTGTTTGGAACTGATTCTCTGGGCTGACATAGGTGTAGTGTAACACTTGTTTTTGGATTGAATGCAAGTTTCAGAAAATTCTGGCTGTAGGCTGGAAGCTTTCACATTAAAACAGAGTAAACTTCAGGATTTTCAGTGTAGGTGGTTCCTACAAAGCTAATCTCACTCCAGGATTGCAAATTGATTGAGTCTTCAGTGCTGCCTGGAGCACTGTATTGAGAAGGTGTGAGGCTGTCTTCAGGCTCAGTGGGAAAGAGTGAGTGATTAGCAACATCTGCTATGGGTGTAAGGCTGGAAAATGGTAAGTTATGTGCCAGATTTACCAATCCTCATTCTGATCCAGGCTTTTCACTGTACAAATGGAGACACTGTTGATTTGTAAAGAGCCCATGACAGTTTCCAAAGCAAGTACTTCAGATCTGCTAATACACCAGCCTGTGAGATAGAGAGGTATGATTTAGCCTGATTTATAGGTGAGGTAATCCTGGCCTAGAAAGGCTGAGTTTCCGCATGGTCACACAGCTAGGAGTAGTAGTGCCCAGACTGTCCCTACACAAACCAAATTTGTCTATGCACAGATGGATTCTTGCATTGAAGCCTTTGGAACCACCAAACAGAAGCGGGCTTTGAACTCCAGAAGAATGAACACAGTTGGCAGTGAATCTCTGAACTGTGCAGTAGCTAAAGCTGCAGAGAATATTATTGATGCGAAGGGTGTAACTGGTAAGCAGCTGGGACTTGGAGTAAGAGTCTGCTCATTGAGACAGCTTCCTTGTCTTTTGAGATCACTTACCTGCTCCACAGATGGAAATAGAAATAAGGGTGTGTTAAGGCTGGGTTCCTTCCTCATTCTCACTGAGCACCTTCTTGGGAACAGACTTTGGAAATAGTAAGAAACATCTGCCCTCAGGGAGCTCACAGTCAAGCGGAGGAGACGGGCATGGGAACGGGTATGTTTACACTGTGTCCTGAGTGCCAGGGTGCGGAGGGAGAAAGCCTCAGTGTCTGGGAATCACAGGGAGGTTTTGGACAAAAATACTGATACAATGAAGTGAGCCTTTACAGATAGTGCTTCACTCTGGGATCAGTGGACCTTTTTCTGTTCCTAAATTCATCAGTAGCTTGAGTGTTTAATTGTATTGTTTAAAAGTGTATTTGTTCAAAAGCATTATGAGAACATAAGAGAAAGTTTACATAAGAGCAGCTTTTCTATTAAATTGGGGTTTTAGGGGATGCCTGAGTGGCTCAGTGGTTGAGCACCTGCTTTTGGCTCAGGGCGTGATCCTGGGGTCCCAGGATCGAGTCCCACATCGGGCTCCTTGCGTGGAGCCTGCTTCTCCCTCTACCTGTGTCTCTGCCTCTCTTTCTCTCTGTGTCTCTCATGAATAAATAAGATCTTTAAAAAAAGGGGGGATTTTAGGGGTGTTTGAGTGGCTTGTTGGTTAAGCGTCTATCTCAGGTCTTGGTCTCAGGGTCATGAGTTCAGGCCCCACATTGGGCTCCATGCTGGGCATGGAGCCTACCTAAGAAAAAATAAATAAGATGGGATTTTAGTAATTTTTAGAAAAATCTTTCCAAACCCTATGATTATATAAATATTTTCTTATGTTTTCTCTCAGTATTTTTACAATTTTACTTTTTACATATAAATTTTAATGAAGATACTTTTTTGGCATATGGTAAAGACCTTATATTTTCCAAAGGATTAGCCAGCAGCCCCAACTCCATCCTTTTCTTTGTAGAAGATGATTTAAAAAGCTATCCTTCTCACTTTAGCACATTCTGTGTTCTGTCCAACTGTCCATTCTGTTCCTCCGGGAGCACCAGGCTCTTTTGATTGCAGTACCCTCATCTTCCCGCTTCTATTTCTTTCTTTTTTTTTTTTTAATTTTTATTTATTTATGATAGTCACAGAGAGAGAGAGAGAGAGAGAGAGAGAGAGAGGCACAGAGACATAGGCAGAGGGAGAAGCAGGCTCCATGCACCGGGAGCCCGATGTGGGACTCGATCCTGGGTCTCCAGGATCGCGCCCTGGGCCAAAGGCAGGCGCCAAACCGCTGCGCCACCCAGGGATCCCCCCGCTTCTATTTCTGATGCGGCAAATTCCTCCTCTTCTCCTTCCCTCCTTATTTTTCACAAACATTGGTTAGAATAGCATGCCTTTTCCGCCAGGTGATCTTAAGAATTATTTCATCAAATTCCCTCAATTGAGATGGAGAGAATCAACATTTTTACAATATTATGTTTTTTTATCCTGGAATATAGAAATATGTTTCTCTATTTATTTGAAAGCGTAAGTAAATTTTTTGAATATTTTTGTTTAGTTTAATTCTCAGCTGTCAAAGGACATTCAAAAGGAAAAGAAAAAGGAGTGCCTGGGTGGCTCAGTTGGTTAAGCACCCAACTCATTTTGGCTCAGGTCATGCATGATCTTAGGAGGTCATGAGTTTAAGCCCTGAGAGGGGCTCCACACTCAGTGGGAAGTCAGCTTGGGGTTCTCTCCCTCTGCTCCTCTCCCCACTGGCACTCAGGCTCTCTCTCAAATAAATAAAATAAATTGGTTTTTAAAATCCTAATTTAAAAAAAGATAAATCATTCATTCATTTCCTATCATTTTACCAGACCAACTATTAGAATGTTCCTGTATTCCTCTTTGTCCTTGTCTATATAAGTTCTTAATCTTACATGGTTATTCTTGTAGTGTAGTTCACAGTTTTATATTCTGATTTTTTTTTTAAACTATTTACTTTTTAAAGATTTTATTTATTTATTCATGAGAGACACAGAGAGAGAGGCAGAGACACAGGCAGAGGGAAAAGCAGGCTTCACGCAGGGAGCCTGATGTGGGACTTGATCCCGGATCCCGGGATCATGCCCTGAGCCAAAGGCAGACGCTCAACCGCTGAGCCACCCGGGCGTCCCTATATTCTGATTTTTACTCGTAATATATGGAGAAGTTTTCCAGAAGTGAAGCCATTAAAGGCTCTCTTCCTGACTTTTGGCTTCTCTTGCACTGTAAATATTTATTAGCACACCTGTCCTCTGAACTGTTGTGCGAGTTACTTGAGAGGGCCCTCACTGTGTGAGCCTTCTCCAGTGCCTGGTTAGGTTTGTGTTATGAGTGGACATCACCCCAGACCCAGCCAGTAGCCAGCCTGATGGAGAGTTCAGGCCACATTGGCAGAAGCATTCAGATTAGGATTTTTTGGACCAATTACAACCTTGAGCGCACAAGTTTCAGAGTATTGGGGAGCCACACAGGATGATACTAACACTGTCTCTTCCTTTATCAAAAAGCTCTGGTCAACGATGCCATCCATGATGATCTGCAGGATGACTCCCTCTACCTTCCTCCCTGCCACGCTGATGCTGCCAAGCCTGAAGACGTATATAAATTTGAAGACCGTATCCTTGTTGCAGTAGAAACACTGCCATACTTCCCAAGTTGGGATGTGCATATATGAGTGGACAGACAGGCTTTTTGAGGCTGTTGGTGGTCCCATGATGCTCACAGAAGCTACATCCAGATCTTTGCCCTTGCCCTTTTGCTGGGAAGTTACCTGGGCTTCCTTACTGGCTGAGGGTCAAGCCCATTCCTCAGCAAAGTGCCAAATACCCTCAAGTTCAGCCCTGTGGAGGTCACTTGCTATAAGTAGTCAAAATAAGATTTTTAAGTCAGCCCTAAGTCTGGAGCAGACTGATCTGTAAAAGGTGGAGCATAGAATTTCCCTACTCGTGGGTCTGGTCAGAGAGAGAATGCCTGCAGTGGCTTTGTGATGAGCCAAGGAAGCAGAAAAGGCCTGGCAGGGAATGGGCTCTGGGCTGGGAGTCTGGAGTACCGTGTCCCTGCGCTCAGCCCCAGTGTACTATGGGCTTCAACTTTCCCATCTCGAATATGGGGTCGCTCTGAGATGAGCTAGCTGGTTAGATGTTTTTCTTTTGATCAGAATATATTCTTGACCTGTTTAACTAGTTCTCTCCACTGCGGAGTATGAAGCTCTTCAGAGCCCATCCGAAGCTTTTAGGAATGTCTCATCAGAGGAAATACTGAAGATGATTGAAGAGAACAGGTATCCTCCCCTCTTGGGTGGATGGAGCATCTGGGGCTGTGATGGCAGAGCTCAACAGTAGTCAGACATGAAGCAGACCTTTAGGGGTGTCAGTCGGTGAGAGCATATGTCTTTTCAGGATCTGAACATGAACGAGCCAGTGTTCTCTTGAAAATATTTGGGCTTTCCAGCCTCTTGTCCCAAGGCTGTGAGTGACATTCAAGGGAGAGCGAGGTGGCCTCTGAGTGCTTGGAGCCCGTGGCTGAGCAGAGGGTGGTGAGGCCTTAAGGTTGGGCTTTGAACCGGAGCAGGCCTGTGTCCCCAGGGCTATGCTGATCATGATCATCACCAGTGGGGCCCAGGCGCTAGCCCGCGAGTTGGTGCCAGTGCAAGTGATGGTTGATGCTGAGTGAGCTTTTATACGTGAAGTTAAATTTATGAGTGGCTTAGTCGATAAAGCATCCGACTCTTGATTTCAGCTCAGGTCATGATCTCAGAGTAGTGAGATCAAGCCCCAAGTTGGACTCCACACTCAGCAAGGGTTCTTCTCTTGTCTTATCTGTATCTGTCTCTCTCTCTCTCTGCTCTTCCATTCACGTGTGCTCTTTAAATCTTTTTTTAAAAAAGTTAAGTTTAGGGGATCCCTGGGTGGCTCAGTTGTTTAGCACCTGCCTTCGGCCCAGGGCATGATCCTGGAGTCCTGGGATCAAGTCCCACATCGGGCTTCCTGCATGGAGCCTGCTTCTCGTTCTGCCTGTGTCTCTGCCTCTCTCTGTCTCTCTGTGTCTCTAATGAATAAATAAAATCTTTAAAAAAAAATTAAAAAGTTAAGTTTATATATTTAAATACTATATATTTTAAATAACTCAGATCTCCCCTGTACCTTTTGACCTTTAAACAGCTTCTCTTTGTTTTTTTGTTTGTTTTAAACAGCTTCTCTTTGATGATGACAGTGGAATTTTCTTGCTTTTGAGTTTTTTCTCTTAATAATTTCATCTTGAGAAAATAAAAAATTGACAACCCTAGGTTGGTTCCCTGATTTTTGAAGGTGCTTTTGTTGTTCCAAAGATACATTTCCAGAAAAACTTATTACTGGTTCTTGGTTGTCGTAATGTAATCATGGCTCAGCAGCAGGTGAGGAATGAGCTCTGGGCCGAGAGTCTGGAGAACTGAGTCCCTGAGCTCTGCCTGAGGTACTGTGTGATCTTCCCTTCATTGAGCCTCAGTTTTCCTATCTGTAAAATGAGCCTGCTGCAAGATGATCTTGAAGAGCCTTTTTATTTCTGTGAGTCTGGGCCTCATGGTAGTAGAACAGTTCATAAAAGAATAACTGACATTGATGGAGCTTTTATATCTGCCAAGTACTGTTTTAAATGCTTTAAATGAGACTTGCGTTACCTCATTTAATGCACAAAAAACCTCTAGAGGGAGGCCACTATCTTTGTCCTTAATTTTTAGGTGAAGATGTTGTACGGAGATGTACAGACACACTCAAACTTGCCCAGGCTACTAATTGGTAGAGAGGGGGTTCAAACCCAGGCAATCTAACTGAAGGGCCTGTGCTCCAGACCACACATCAGGACGGGGCAGACGATGGCCTGTGTGCCAAGGTCAGGCTGCTGTCTATGAGTAAAGTTTTATTGGAACACAGCTATGGCGGTTCATTTGTTATTAATGGCTGTTTTTGCACTACACTGGCAGCTTTGAGTAGATTTAACAGAGATCCAATGGCTCACAGAGCCTAAAATATTTAGCCCTTTCCTGCCTTAGCACTAAACCATGCTCACTGTGTAATAAGGAGGATATTAGGATGGCCCTTCGACAGTTGAATGTGGATCAGCTGTGGAAGATGCCCGCTGTTTTCATCATGAGTGTCAATGGTTCCTGACAGGGTTGGTCTTACACATTCCTCCCTTGTCCCCCTTGTTTTAGCCACTGCTCCTTTGTCATAGAAGCATTGAAGTCTTTGCCATCAGATGAGAAGAGCCGAGACCGCCAGGCCCGATGCATATGGTTTCTGGACACGCTCATCAAATTTCGAGCACAGAAAGTGATAAAGCGGAAAAGTAAGTCCATGATAGACATTTTATTCTAGTCCTTTCCAGCCTGTTATTTGTTCAACCAGCTCTCGTGAGAGAAGAAAATGCGTGTGCTTGTCCAGATCTTTATTTCTGTGTAACAGTGAGGTTCCTGTAGCTGCCAACACGGGTTGGAGGATTGGCCCAGCTCTTTACTCCTCTGAAAATGGGGACGGGCTTGGTGGTCCAATTGTTCAGCGCTAATGTTCACTACTTCTCTTCTGCATTGGGCGAAGTATAGACTTCAGTCAAATCGAATGAAAATTTTAAGGGATGGTTGGACAAACATCAGTCCCGTGGGGAGAAAAATCGGCTTGGCTCACATGAAGGCTTGTGGCAGGTTTTTGTTGTGTCAGGTTATTCTTTCTGTGAAAGAAGAGAGTCCATTCCCCCTGGTAACCTGTGTCCTCTATAGTGAGGGCCACAGCCCCCCACTCCTGTCTACCTGGAGCTAGAAACCCGTCTGTGGTTTTAGGCACAAGCTGGTGCCATCTTGTTGCTTGAGCTCCCAAGAGTCTGTATGTTTTCAGTATTTACTTGGTTTATTTTCGCATTTCAGTCTCCTTTCCTTTCCCTCTCCCTGGGCTTTCACCACAAGCTGTATTGTATCTTATGAATCCTGTGTCTTTAGGCTTTAGCGGAGTCTGTTTTTTCCTCCTGGTTACCACCCCATCACAAACATCTCTCGGGTGCATGGGGTCTGCAAGCCAGAGCACAGCTGAGCTCGTTTTCACTGGGAAGTGGCTGTTCTGTGTCATGGGCCCCTGCTCCTCTTACCACATGGTTCTCTTCATCGCAGTGACTCAGCTGTTGGCCTCTTTTCCCAGCTCAGGGGGGAGGTGTGTTCCCAGGGTTTGGAAACAAAACGATCCATCTCACCTTTGTGTCGCAGGTGCCCTGGGACCCGGAATCCCCCATGTCATCAACACCAAATTGCTGAAGCACTTCACCTGCTTGACCTACAACAACGGCAGGTCGGGGATCGACTTCGGGGTGTCAGCCTATAAAGGAGAAAGCAGGCGGGGGCAGGTGGCGAGGGTGGGACGAGAGCATGAACTGGCTTCCATGTCCGCAGGCACTGCTGAGGGGGGCACTCACTGCCGCCTGCAGGGTCCTGGGGTCAAGTCAACTGAGGAAGCCCTATATATTACCTGCTCTGTCCCCCCTGGAGAGGTTCACTATAGAGGTTTTAGGGAGTTCCTGCAACGGAGACTTCTTTCAAGGAACCTTCCTAATATTCCATAGAACCAGTGTTCTATGGGAAGGCAGTGTCACAAAACAAGGCAGCCCAGTGTGATGAATTTGGAAAAGGAACCCTAAGCAGTACACCTGGCTTTCTTTCCTGCCATTCACTTGGAATGTGCTTGGAAAAATCTGAGCATACTTGGAGAAATCAGCAGCACCTGTGTTTGGGATAACTTTTCCTGGCACCCCTGCTGAGCAGCAGGGTCAAGCTCAGAGGGTCCTCGTCACTGCAAGGCTCTGTGCCTGGAAAGTATAGGTGTGGCTTTCTCTGTCCCACTCTAATAGAACACTGGGGTTGGCTCACTGCTCCACAGTGTGCCAAGTTGTGGGCACCTCGACAGGACCAGGAATGTTGCTCAACTTTCTCTTCTCCCCCCCCCCCCCAAGATGGGAAGACATTGAGTGTGCGTGAAAACAGGTTTTTATGTTTTTATTTTACTTTTGGAATAATCATTTTAGAATTTAATGCTGTCTTTCCTTCACTGCCACTGCTTTTGTAGCCTACGGAACTTAATTTCGGATTCTATGAAGGCGAAGATCACTGCATATGTAATCATACTTGCCTTGCACATAAGCGACTTCCAGATTGACCTGACAATGTTACAGAGGGACTTGAAGCTCAGTGAGAGAAGGTGAGCACAACAGAATAGCAAGCTCCCTGCAGGGTGCTTGATGTCTTTCTAGTACTCTTGGAAAGCAGGACATACCATCGAGGGAATTGGGGATGTTTAGAATGGGCAGGACTTGGGACCAGGGGACAGTTGTCAGTGTGTGAGTGACTACATGGATGAGCAACCAGACATTATGGAATGCCTTGTCTGTGCTAGGCACAGTAATTAGTCTGTGATGATCTCGGTTATTTCCCTAAAAAACAATGGGAGAACCTTCAGTTCAAAGAAATCTGTGACTTTTCCAGGGTCACACAGCCAAGAAGGGGAATAGTTGGGCTTCAGGCCTGAGCCTTCTCATACATGGCATTCTGTCTCTGGATAACCAAGCAGTCTCTGAATCACTGGGGCGAGAGGGTCTGTATCGTCCTGAGGGGTGGAAGTTGTAAGAGAACCCAATTTCAGCTTAGCAGAAAGAACTTTCTCTGAGTCTGATACAAGGGGCTGGCAGGTCAGGTGTTCGAAGCAGGGTGGGGCTGCTGTTTGTCAGGGATGTCACATGTGGGCTTCTGTGACCCAGGAGCCCTGCTGAGTAGCAGGGACAGACTTGGAGGTTCCTGGGAGAGTTTGGCAGAGTTGTGGTCTTAGGCTCTTTCCGGCCTTGCTAGCAGGGATTCAGATAAGTAGGGGGCAGAACTTCCAGGATCGTGAACTGTGGGATATGTCACTGACTTAGGGGCTGCTGCTGGTGTGCCAAGAGAGCCTGTGAGAATACCTTTGTCTGGACTGCTCCAGCAGTCCCTGGAGGGATTATCCTGAAGGCTGTCCACAAAAGGCATTCTCACTGGCAATGAGGTTGAAAATAAAAGAGAGGGCAGCCCCCAGTAGCTCAGCCGTTTAGCACCTGCCTTCGCCCAGGGAGTGATCCTGGAGTCCCGGGATTGAGTCCCAGGTGGGCTCCCTGCATGGAGCCTGCTTCTCCCTCTGCCTGTGTCTCTGCCTCTCTCTCTCTGTCTCTCATGAATAAATAAATAAAATAGTAAAAAAAAAAAGAAAAAAAAAGAAAGAAGATATTTGGAGCCTGTAAAAGTTCTGCCAAAATTCTAGCCAAGTGCTCAGTCCTGGTTATCAGAAGTAAAGTTATTAGTAGTGTCTGGATAACCTGGTTTTCCATCACTTCTGTGGATATTTTGTAATGGCCACACATTAAACTGAAATGGCTCTGGATCCTGTCTGCTTCTCAGCTTTGCTCCTGGCGGCCACGTTGAGGATTCTGTCTTCGTGGCCAAGAACGTGAATGTGCTGCTCCCACCTGGCTAGCCTTCCTGAATGACTGAGGTCATTCTCCCCCATTTCTTCTATGTTTTTGTTCCTTAGGATGATTGAGATAGCGAAAGCCATGAGGCTGAAGATCTCTAAAAGAAAGGTGTCTCTGGCAGCTGGCAGGGAAGAGGATCACAAACTGGGCACCCTGTCCATCCCGCTGCCTCCAGCCCAGACCTCGAAACACCAGTCAAAGCGGAGGAAAATCACCTAGAGGTGTGCTTCCCAGATAAGAGCATTTTGGTCACCCACAGCCACTTCTTTTCTTTTCCATTTTTATTTTTATAATAAGAAGGAAAAAGAAGCCTCGCTTTGGCGTGGGTATGAAGCCAGAAGCCAGCATCTCAGCATCTCAAGTTGTGCTTGTCTTCAGTGGAAACATAAAGTGATGACCATGTTAGCCTTGACCTCTCTCCTTTGGTGTTGCTGTGATTATGACTGGCAGCTGATTCCCGTGGGAGGGTGGGGCCTGGGAAGAGTCAGAGTCAGCAGATCTTACAGGCTGAACCCTAGGCCAGATATAGTGGATAAATGTTAATAAAGAGAAATGTGAAGTGCCATGCTTAGACTGGAAGGGCTGGGGAGTCCATAGAGAGGAGGGTACAGCCCAGCTGGGCTAGAAGAGGAGGCCTCAGGCTTGGTCAGTAACTAACTGTGGGTCACCTGTGTCTTGGGGTTGCCAAAGGAGGCCAGTTAGTTTGTGGTCGCCGTCACAGAGTAGAGCCAAATGAGAGGAGGTGGTTAGCCACACCAGTTGCTCTGCTTGGCTCAGGCCACACAGGGCAGGGGTCAGCTCTAAAAGCACATTTTTGAGAGCGATGAATCAGAGTGAAGTATAGAAAACAAATTGTTGTAGATCTCTTTAAAAGGGGATTTAAGGAGCGCCTGGGTGGCTCAGTTGGCTAAGTGGTTAAGCATCTGCCATTGGCTCAGGTTATGATCCCAGGGTCCTGGGCTCAAGCTCCAAGTCTCAGCTCAGCAGGGGAATCTGCTTCTTCCTCTCTCAGGTCTTCCTCCCCGCCCCATCCCCCACTCATGTACACACACACTCTCAAATAAATACTAAAGAAAAAAATAAAAGGGGATATAATGCATGGATGGAATGTTACAGAATTGTGAAAGGGCTGCAAGAGTGGGAATCAGGAGGTGGCCCCTGGAACCACTGAGTTCAGGAACAGACAGCTGCGGGTGCTCCCTCAGTCAGGTGTGGAGAAACCACTCCTGCCTGACTGCTCCCTGGACGTGAGGCCTGTGACGCCCCGCAGTGCTGATGTCAGCTACCCATCCTCTCAGTACCCACATTTCCGCTCCTTTGCTTATCAGCACAAATAGCCAAAAGATAAAGAAGCTGGCTTTCTTCTCTCTTCCTTCTATGAGCATTTGACCCTTGAACGACCCAGGGTGGGGGGACCAACGCCTCACTTGGCCAGAAATCCGCATGTAATTTTTTACTCTCCCTAAACTTTCCTAATACTTAACTATAAGCCTTACTGGTAAGCACTGAGAGCATACTTTGTATGTTACACATATTACTGTGTTCTTACAATAAAGTAGGATAGGAAAAAGAAAATAGGAAAACACAGTATTTATTGGAAAAAAAACTCTCATGTTACGTGGACCCATGCAGTTGAAACCCACGTTGTTCAAGAGTCAAGTGTAATTACATAACTTTCTACTAGGCACATGTATTACTTTATGATCCATAGGGATGAATGAGTTCTTTAAGAAGAAGAGAGAAGCTACTGGAGAGCACTTTTGAGCTTCAGAGGTTGAAAGCAAGATGGTGACTCAACTATGGTTTATCTTGCAAATGCCAAACTGGTAGTGTTTTCATAACGAAGAGTGGTCTTGGGTGCATTTGTGTGAGTGTATTTATAGACATGAAAACTTGGGGGGAAGGAAATAGATTGTTTTGTTCCCCCCTTGACTTTTGAAATTATCCTTACCACTCGATTTATAAGTGAGCCCATGGAATATTCTTATTTCTTCCTTTCTTGGGCGCTGCATTAGACCTAAAAATGTTAACTGGCTTAGGATGTGGGTTTTGCTAAAATGATTCCTCTTGAACACTTCACTAGGTACTCTCTTGACTGTCTGAAAAATGGGGTTTTGCCCCTGCTCTCTGGTAGCCCTGGATAACTGATCCAGAGCCAGCCCTGCATCACTGGGATCATGGGTCCCATCAGCAACATGTAAGAAAGGGGCCCAGGGTCAGGCACCTATGTTGGGCACTGTCTGGTTTATGTAGATGCCAATCTGGCATCACCTTATCCTGTGGACGTAACATTAGTCTGCAGAAAAAGAGATCAGAGCTGGGTAGAGTCTCTTTAAATATTAATACTAGTGATGCCTTTTGCCACACATCTCTGAAGAGCTCTGAGCATTTCAGACATTACCTCATCATTAATTTTCACAGCGTTCTTGGGTGAGAAGCCGATGGCAAGTCTTACGGTCTCCATTTGGGACAGAACATAGCAAATGCTTCAGATAGTTGATCTAAACTTAGGAGTGGTCCTGACCAGATACCAACTGATAAAAAGAGTGGAGGCACTTTTTGTGGCATATTTTTCTACAGTTGTCCCTCATCTCACACACGTGGGATTGCCTTCCTGCATGTTGCTCCACAGCATTAATGGGGGCCTGCTGTGAGCAGGTGCAGGGCTGAGCACTGTGGCCAGAAGCCTAGGTCAATCTCCTTAGTCCCACACTTACGGCCTTTGGTGATAGGGCTTCTACCTGCCTGTCCTACCCGAAGTCCCTCAACCCTATTGCACATTTCCTTGGTCCTTCCGTCCATCTTCCTGGTCTTCAGGGTAGCCCTGGGCCATCTCCCTTCTGTGCACTTTCTCTGTCCTCCCCAGCTCTGCAGGTGTCACTCTCCTGCCCTCCGTGGCCTGGTCCCCCACTCCACAGAGCCTGCCCTGAGAGCACCCTCCTGTGTCCACAGCTGCACCTGAGCTCCCATCATCCAAGTCTAGCAGCCCATCTGCTATGGCCCTTTCTAGTCTCTACTTGGTATTTTAGGGGTTTGGGTATGCTGCTCAGTGACCTTTCTTGACTGCAGGGATGGTCCGGTTCATTCTTGTATCTCTCAGTGACTTGCCCCTGTGGGGTGCAGAGGACCCAGGGCCCGGATAGAACCCCGCTGGGCCTGACCCCTCCTCTGATGCCAATCACGGAGGCCCCTCACTCACTCCCTGCTGGCCTGTCCTGTCCTCTCAGCACCCACACCCGTTCCACCCATCCTTGTGGTTGAAAGTCCTTCTGTCACAGAGATCTGGAGAAACGGGCAGAGAGGGACCATGGAAGGGTCTTCAGCAGGTGACCTCTCTGCTTTTGTCTGTCTTCACCTCTGGGGTACAAGGCCTCCTACTGCCGGAAGGGCTTTCTCCAGAGCATTCTCTCCATTCATGAGCCAACTCCAGGGCTGGGACCGCCACGGGCTCCACCTGCGGCAGGTTGTGTGAGGCCGGGCAGGTCATTTAATCTTCCCGTGGCGTCATTCCCCCATCTGTTGAGGGGGGATAAAGTGTTTAAGGGTGACCTACCTCCCTGGGAGGCTTATCGACTTAATGCTATGCCGTTCACTTTAACCCGAGGCAGCTGGGCAGACCAGGCTGGGGAGCAGGCACCCAGTCAGCGCTGCAGCCGCACACTGGCCACCTTGGGACACCTCAGGTGTCACAGTCTCTGTTGCCCATGGCCCAGGAGCAGCCAGGGTGCCGCAAAGAACCTGTAGGGTCTCCTCTCTGGGCCAGTTCATGTGGCTGAGGGTGATAAGAGCGGCATCTGGAGGGCTTCTGGGGAAGAGGGGAGAGTGACTCCTGTGGACGGCAAGGCTGAGGCTGCCCGGGATCCACAGGAGAGGGGGTCCCCCGGGCCACTGCGGGTACCGTCCCGCTCGGCCCACATGGCCGGGTCATCAGCTTTATGGGGGCTCATTGACGAGCTATGGGAAGGTCACTTGTTACTCCCATTCCTGTGGCCACTATCTTGGGAAGGCGGCCTTTTCTCTTTAAAGAGAGCTGTGTGCTGGGAGGCCCAGGAGCAGTGTGGGGAGGCAGAGGGGGCCAGCGCGGGGAAGGGGGGCCGGACTCTCTCCTTGGACAACTCCCCTCAGCTCTGCTCCACTGGTGAGTTGTTTTCTCATTCTGTAACATGTCCTGCTTCCTCCAGAGGGTTGCAGAAAGGTAGCTGGGTTTTTTAAATTGTAGCATTTTTTAACTTAATTTTTTTTAACCTAAGTTTTTAATTCCAGTTAGTTAACATACAGTGTTATGTTAGTTTCAGGCATGCCATATAGTGATTCAGCACTTCCATTCGAGACCCCAGCTCATCATGATAAGTGCCCTCCTTAATCCCCATCACCTATTTCTCCCAACCACCGGACCTCTAGTATCCATCATTTTGTTGTCTATAATTAAATCTGTTTCTTGGTTTCTCTTTTGTTCCCTTTGCTCGTTGGCTTGTTTCTTAAATTCCACATATTAGTAGAATTATATGGTATTTGTTTTTCTCCAACTTATTTCACTTAGCTTTGTACTCTCTAGCAACATCAGCATCATTGCAGATGGCAAGACTTCATTCTTTTTTATGGCTGAGTAGTATTCCTAATAGAGTATTTTTGCTGTATATTTTAAAATCTATTTTCATGGTATAGTCTTGAAGGATTTTTTTTTTTTTTAAATGATAGAGAGAGAGAGAGGCAGGCTCCATGCCGGGAGCCCGACATGGGACTCGATTCCGGGACTCCAGGATCGCGCCCTAGGCCAAAGGCAGGCACTAAACCGCTGAGCCACCCAGGGATCCCCAATCTTGAACGGTTATTATTTGTGAAACTTGTTTAAGGGAAGGTTCTTTAAGTCTTCATAATTGCAATTATTCATTCTGGGCTCTTCTCCCATTTAACTGTTAACTATTGCTCATATTTTAAGTTTGCAATTGCAGTATCTTTTTTTTTAAAGAGTTTTTTAAGAGTTTATTATTTGAGCATCTGTAGTTGCCTACAAGTCGGGGGAGGGGCAGAGAGAGAGGGAGAAGCTGGCTCCTTGCCCAGCGGGGAGCCTGAAGTGGGGCTCCATCCTAGGACCCTGAGGTCCTGACCTGAGCCAAAGGCAGAAGCTTACCCAACTGAGCCATCCAGGGGCCCCAAATTGCAGTATCTTTAAGCATCTTCTATAGAAATGGGATAGTATTTTGTTTTGGAACTAAATTGCCAACAGGTTTTCTACATTGTGAGATCATAGGATGTAAGACCTGATCCTGGAGATTTTTCTGGTTGAGCATCTGTGGTTCTAATGGTGCAGTGATGTCCTGAGAAGGTAGCGAGGGGTCTTTACTACCCAGCTAACTAGTGACAGAAGCAGAACTCAAACCCAGGTCTCCCAACTCCCTTGTCCGTAACTCT